AATTCCTTGTTATGTCAGGGAAGTTGTTTCTCCAGCATCTGGTACTTTTCTGATTTATCTACAAACTGTATCTGAAAATTAATAGGACAGCCAGCCTTCATGTAAAAGTACTATTGGGAACTGCTGCTTAGACAAAGCCTGAGAAGACTTCAGAGTGTGCAAGAACTAGATTTGTCAGTGAACATATAATTTTTTTTTTTTTTACATCCCAGTAAATTACAGGCTTTGGTTATGGTTTCAAGAAATGTGTTCTACAAATGTTGTAGCATCTGTATGCTGCTGTTTTTACTGCAGTCGTTGTACAGGTCATTAATCTGATCTCACATCGTAAAAATTTCTCCACCCTCTTTATGAGTTTCTTTGTTATCATAACACTTTCCAATACCTTGGCGCCTAACTCTGCTACACTCCATTATAATTACCCTGGGTAGAACAACTACTTTTTTATACTTGACATGCTTGGCTCTTTCAAATGGTGTTGCAGAGCACCATGTTCACCACATTTCTGTGGTAAATTGAACATCCAGGAACGCAGTTGGGAATTCTGCAGAATTGGTCTGGGAAGACATTTGGCCAACAGACTCCTTCTGCTCTGAGCCTTGTTTGAAAGCTTGGCAGCACAAAAGCTCTGCTCCTGCATTGTGTTCCTCCCACCACTGATTCGCAGATGAAAAAGGATTATAGACGTCTGCAATGACATCCATGAAGTTACTCCAGCGACATCAGTGCAAGTGAGAGCAGATTGTGGCTCTGAGAAGACTTGTGCAGGAGGACAAATTGTGCATGTGTTTTAACTCAGCTGTTGGTGCTGCCACCATACAGTCACCTCCAGCACAGCAGGACAGGCCGAAGGAGCCTTCGCATGAGCTTTCACAGGCCACATCCTCCTTTATCTGACCTCACCAGCCAGCTCACCAGCACTGCTGCAGCCCCTTGAACCCCTGGATTCTTCTATCTGCGCACAGCAGGCGACCTCCAGATGGGCAAGTTGAAAAGAGCTGGTGCCTGCAAAGGTCACAAGAGAGCCTTAGGAAAGAGCCGGGACCTGAATGTTCGGGAATATTGCCACTTTGAAGATGACCTTATTACAGCAGGGGCAGAACTGTAGACATACAGTGCCCCCCTGGCACATACCGGTGTGCCGGGGATGGGGAAGAGAGGCACAGGACAAACCCGGCGCTAAGACACTGACCTTGCACAAGGGTATTTGCTTTTGCCAGCCACAGCCCTGGTAGCTGTCGTGTTGCCTTGTTAGCAGTGAGCAGAGGTGAGATTGGTTTCTATAGAAACGCAAGGGAAAAAGATGAAGTAGAATAGCAGAGATAAATGGGAGCCTCTGCATTTGGGTCTCTTACCACTGTCTCAGGTACTTTAGGAAAATAATTATAGTTCTGGCGAACAGGTTGGTCCCACTTCCCTCTCCTCTCAGCCCCTCCTCTGGCATTTGCAAGGCTCTCGGAGAGACTGGCCCTGTGCTGCTCCTGGTGCAGGGACAGGAGAGCAGAAGGCTGTGGCGAGCTAGGGAGGCAAACACCACGTCCATGGCAAAGCAGCCTGTGACAGATCTTGGGAACAAAGCGGAGAGGGTGGATGCCTATTGGAGGCCCTGACCAAGCTTTTGTGGCTATCCTGCCATGGAAAGGAGAGAGGAAACGGCAGCTGCCGATGCTACTGCATTTGCTGTTTTATTGTCATCTCTCTGTGCAGAGGTGTTTCACTGTGATTAAAGTCTGTTGCCATCGTATGTTATGCAAATAAACAGAAGCTGCAAGGGGACATTATTTCAGAAGGAGGATATCATCTGGTAGTAAATTCCTGAAATATTCCCAAAGTATTTTTCGATGCAAGGTTATGTCCTCCCTGCTGCTATATCCACACTGGCTTCACTCCATTGCCTCACGCCAGGAACACTTTGCCACCCATCAGATTTCCCCCGGTGACTACCTCTATGTCACCTATTGCTCTGCCATGTTTGAGGGATTTGAGGTTGTCCACCTTCTAAAGAAAGTAAGAGGAGCAAGCAGCACTTGGCAACTTTGTGCTGAAGTCTAACACTCATCACAGTAGCATCTGAGCAACTTCAAGTGGACTTGAAGCATGGCTAAAATTTGTCATGCATGTTCTTTCAGCTGCTGAGATTTTATTACTTTGACAAAATGGAAACCTGCTGCTTGTGCATGTTACATAGGGAATGCTATGTGGGTCCTGTCCGCAGGGGTGGGAGGTCAGTGAGTTATCATTCAGTGGGAAAGTGATGAATGACTTATGTTACATGGACCCTGGAGAGATCCAGTAGTATCTGATCCCCTCCCTTGCTATTAGGATTGTTCTTTATATCTTTCCAGCAGCCAAGGCTACCTGACTTAGCAATATGTTCCAGTTTTTGCAAAGCTTGCATGAAGTGAGCATTGCTGGGAAAACAGCAGAAAACAGTGGAACAAGTAATTTTTCGAACTTGCTTGAACACAAGTCCCCGGAAGGAGTCCAGGAAGGACGAACTCATAGGAGCATGTTGTGAGTATGGTCAGTGCCTGATTCAAGAGGGCACGATCTCAAGTAATGACCTCCACCAAGAAGTAGGCAAGTTTCACCACGTTTACATCTATGGCAATGGGACACAGCTTAAAATCTGCTGACTACTAGGCAAACACACTCCTGAATGAACATAACATGCAGGAGGCTGGGGATCTGGTTAACTGTTAGAGACAATTACCTCTGGGAAAAGGACTCGAGGCTTAAAGTTGGATGGCCTTCTCCAGGGAGGGAATGTGGGTCCTGGATATGTTCTGACTCCTACTGATATATTTCTCCCCATTTTTTCCAGGGAAGTAATCTCTGTGTGGCAGGGCTCACAGCTGAACCAATAGCACAGGGAATCTCAAAGAGGGCAGCAGTCAGCCGGGAACCACTGTCAGCATCATGAGATGGCTTTGCTCTGTGGACTGGCTCTCACTGACAGCACTGGCTCTTGCTCAGGAATAGAGTCTCCCCTGCCCATACCAGTTTACTTCCTGAGCCCTATTGTCTAAGTCTCAACCCAGCTGCACCTTTTTCCAAGAATCCCAATAACCTCATGTGTTTCAAGCAATAAGCCACGGCAAGGCTGAGGCACATTAAGCCAGTGGAACTGTCCCTTGCCAAAGCCATGACATTTAGCAGTGTAATATGAACAGCTTTAAGAGATTTCATTTTCCCTAATTGCAAGTTGAAGCAGAAATGCATGATACCTAGTATTTGTAAAACACAAGCTCTCATATGACAGATGCCAGGCTGCCTGAAAAATTCTAACACTGGGATCTCTATCGAAAACACTCAGAGGGTCCTATTATGGCCACCGGGCCTGCTGGCACAAATGAATGCAAAACAGCTGGTGCTATTGTCCTGCATGAATCCGAGGAGAACAAGGGGTAAGAAGTTACGTCCACATTCAATTTATCAGGGTTTTATGATAGGATAGGCTTGGAAATGAACTTATCCTAGCTGCTACCATCTCCTTTCTCTCCACACTTCTTAAAGTTGGTGGACTTACTTCCAGCCCTTGACACACTGGGAAATAAAACACCTTAATAGTGGCCTGAATGGAGACTTCATCTTTAAGACTGAGTGTGCAATTTCACATGAGCTTAAGTCAATCAAAGACCACACTTGAACCAGACAGGGGGCTCTTCCCGTGGGTAGAGCTGCCTCTCTTGCCCTAGAGAAAGGTAGTTTTATTTTTTTCCTTTTTTTTTTTTTCCTTCCCAGTAGGGAGTGCTCTGATGAACTCAGAGATCTAACTGACCATGTGGATACAAGAAGGCCAGTGCCAAGCCAAAGGCAGAAGTGTGTGGCTGGAAAGGAGGCTGGCGTTCCTTCTTTGGCTGTGTGGTTTTAGGTGAACTTCAGGTGAAGTTGGGAAAGTCTACTTCAGAAGGTGACAGCTGTTTCCTCTTTTCAGGAAGAAAATAAATGCAGTTTCTGCTCTTTTGCTCTAATCCACAACCCGTGGTAACCTTGTCTTAAGGTATGGCTCTGAGATGATTATATTTTGCTGGGTGGAGATGTGGGAGCAAATGGCCAAATGGGACAGGCTGTTAACTCCGGTCAGTGCAGGAGCTTGTAGCTCTGTGCTTCCGGGAGCAAGGCTTTTGAGATAGGTCCTTGGTTTTGGCTTGCCAAGAATCCTCTCATACATGAATCCTCCCATTGCCTTTGCTGCAGAGAGGACTTGGGGAATAATGCCACAGAGATATTGGCTTATCTCTCCCTGTTCAGTCAAGTAAGCCATTTATGGCTTACATATCTTATGGCTAGGACTCTAGCCAAGAGCTCTTTTCGTAAGTGGTCACTAAAACCTGAGCACTATTAAAATTAGTGCTCTAAGGCAAAAAGTTAACATTTTCCAGAGCTCCTAAGCCTCTGACAGAGGCACTTTGGCAGATATTGCTGGGAATGCTTAAGGCATTACTGTCCTCAGATATCTCATCCATCTGCTAGAAGATTCTGCTTCCGTAGCCCAGGAAGTACAACAGGGGTTTATCCGCTCCAGGCACTAGTTTGGCATCTGAGTTCAAACCCAAATACAGAGGCTCTTGAAGCTAAATCACCTGGCTTTACCCTGAAGCAGACAGGGGAACACTTGGACAGCCTTCAGGAAACAGACTGGACAAAGCACTGGGCTAGAGCAACAGTATCGTCCTCAGCCACTCCGACCTGTGGTGACTCTATGCCTCTGGCTTCAGGTCCCTTTAAAACTGTATTGGAAATTTTATGTAAATGCTCCATAGCCTTGTATTGATACTTTGCTCTATATACTGCACAGTCTAATGTATTAGCTTTGCAGAGCTGCATGCCTTGAGTTCAGTGAGACTACTCGCATGAGTAACAGCTGGAAGCCCATCCTGTTTAAGAGATTATAATGTGTGTATATATATGTGTGTCTATATATGTGTGTGTATATATATACATATGTATATTCACCCCTTTGAAAGAAAACAGCAAGACCCTGACATTACTTTAGATCACAGTTTTAATGTTTAAAAACTATAGAGGTAACAAGAGATTATAGAACTTAATACATTTTTTATTTACACACAGAAACTGAAAAACTGCATTGTTTATTTGAACATGAACAGCACAAAGTATGGTGATGTTAGCAGGAAGCAAAATATTACAATGACTCACTTGAACAATCTACTAGAGATGCGCTCATATCAAGTGTACATCATTCAAACAGTATTGTTTATAGTGGATCTGGGTGAGCCTTAACATACCTTGGGACTCTTAAAAACAGGTTTATATAAACAAGTCAAAGTTCAAGTCTTGTGGAAAAATACCTTTACAGTTTATATTTTGTTGGCTATAACACTGCAAACGAAATGTACATTTGTATTAGTTTGAAAAGGTCTGTAAAAGTGACTGCGTGTAAGTTTTTCCTTAAATTTGTGCTCGTGGTGAAAACAAACGTTACTTCAAGTTTCACTTTCATCCAAGACTATAAAGCAAACATGGAAAAAATACATTTATTTTTAGATACATTCCTCAACCTCTGTTTTTCATCAGTTCTGAAAATTACACTTCTGTGTTTTACAAGTGAGAAATTCTATGCGGCACTTGCCTATAGCAGCACTTCACCTTACAGCCGAGGCTGGGCTCTCATGGAGGCACTCTCAGGACATACACAACTGTCCCCCTTCCAGCATCTCCGCCCCTGGATGTGCACGTATCCCAAGACCAAAACACTGGCACCCCATCGTGGCCTAAGAAGCCCCCCTGTGTAACGGGAGGTGCAAGCAGTCCCTTGTCAGCTGGCCAGAGCGCCCTCTCCTCAACTGGGAGGTGCTCGTGTTTTGGCCACAAGATAGCAGCATGCCTGGATCTGAGATGGAGGAACAGCCACCGGACTCTGCAGAAATGGAGCTGCAGGGAGCAGGCTATAAACAGCATGAATTGTTCTGGTTGTTGCCCACCCCTGGCTTAGAGTACTTTTTCTGAACTACAGCCACGTCTTGTGGCTGAAAGGGAAACGCAGAAGTCCTGATCCGACTTCTATTTGTACTAGTTGCCTTCTGTGGAAAATATTGGTATACATGCCTGAAATATCAACATGGCATAGCGCTGGGACAAAATGCTGGCTGCAGTTTGCTCCAGTTTCTGCACAAGGCCTTTTCTGCACATTAATGCCATGTGAGATCTGCTGAGGAAGTAAGAGGTATCTGGGTGCTAAATAGGCCCCTTACATAGGGAGACATCTTACCCAGCAGCAAGACTGGATAGTTTGCTATTGAGAAAACAGGGAGACGTGCACTGGAATTAATTCTAGCAATTTCATCGGACCTTTTATTTTTCTTTTATTTGTTGCGTTAAGCAATGTAATTATAATTTCAAGTTAAGAATTTAACTTGTGAACTCTTGGGAGAAAGGAAAGGATATACATTTTGCTAAGTCAGAAGCTAAAGTATTTGTATTTCTATTAAAATTATTCTTAATATGCAGAGACTATTTCAACACTTCTATATCATAGGGGATAAAGAACTGCAAAAATATACAGCATCCTATTTATTTACAATATATATATATACATAAAAATGAAATTTCCTACAATACAACACAACTGCATAGATTTGTCTTCAGAAACATAGGCATGTGTACAATTTGTGAACTCTAGACCTTTCCAGCCCTGTACTTTTTATTAATTCTTTATCTTTTTCACAGTTTGTTACAGAAATCCTTACATTAGATACAAATAAAACATTCTTTGTATAGGTTATAGGAAATAAAGATTTTCCTGATGCCAAGTGCTCTTGGGAATTTTTTTAAGAGAGCACTGTGGTATCAGCTGATAAAGCCATTTCTTGGAATTGCTGATGGAACTGAATACATTCTGCTGTGCCTTTCTCCTAAAGACACCAGGGGTGGGACTGTAGGACTGGAGGTGGGACAACACCACATGGAAAGAGTTTTATTTTGACCAAGATGCTCTTTAGCCTTAATGTAAGGTTCAAGCAAAGAAACGTATCGATTTAAAGATGAACTAGAGATACCATTAATTATTACTGTTAGTTATTAATGCACCATCTCAGAAATAGCGATGGCGCTTATGTATTGTAAGGCAGACATACAGACAAAACCCACAGAATCTCCATACGCTGTCCAGCCTGCATTTACGTGTTTGACCTATCCAAGAGGAGCACAGGCTATGGATTTTTACGTAGCTCAGGAAAGCAGCCCTCGGGCGTAGACAGGTATCCTTGATCTCACAGGATGAGCCTGGCCTTTCTGCACTAGGCCTGCCTGTGCTAGGGCTGGGTGCCACTCAGGCTCCGCTTTGGCTCTACAAAAGGTCTGAGCCGGTGCACAGATTTGCCATTGGCCCTCTGACCAGAAGAAAGTGTCACCTGGAGAGATCACTACTCCCCAGATATTGTTCCCAAATAACAATTTATTCTATTTTCTTTATTATGCATGTTTACCACTGGAGAGAGAGAACAATAGCTGTATTCTGCAACCGTAAGGGTGGTTTAAGCTAACGAGTATTTTCTTTGCAATGTGCTGTGGGCTAGGAGAGGCAGCAAGGCCAGCTTGTAAGCATAGGGTTAACTCCTACAATCTCACTAGGAGCCCCTGTTTCTAAGTAGACCTTCCTTGTCCCTCACCATTCAATTGTTGTTATTATGCACACAATAACTTTCAAGTATTTTGTTGTAGTTATTAGGAGCAGTTTTGCATCCAGTCTATGAAATTTGCAGTGCTCACACTAGTGATAAACTCTCTATGAAAAGAAAGCATGCTACCACCTACTAAGTAGATACGGTACTCTGGATCCTATTAATTTTACAACAGAGAAACTCCTACAGCATTTCACTGTGCTTTTAAAATCCTAGCTAAAATGTGGGACTCGTACATCATTGGCTACAAGTTCACTATTCCAAATGAACTGAATAACAGCAGTACATTTTACAGATAACCTCATACAAATATTGTCATCCATCACTGATGTTGACAGTTACAGCAGGGTCTATTGCATTCTGTTAAGAATGTATAAACCTGATGAGAAAACAAAAAGCACGTTATTTCACGTTCATTACCACAGACATCAATAAACACATGATTCCTTTCCAGAAATATCTATAAATATGATGTCAGTAAATCAGTCTAAGCAAAATTCCCTCTTTTTCAGAGACCCAGAAACAAAGCCTATTTAAAGACTCAGGATTTTGGGCGTCTATTTTTCAGTATCTAAGATATGCTTTGATGGTCCAGTACCTTGGGTAATTTCACTCCGTGCACACACCCACCTCATTCTTCTCCCTATTTATCTAGGAAGACTCCAGTATACAAATAAACTGGGAAAAGGAGAAGACAGAGGAGCAAAGAGGAGAGAGAGGGATAGTGATGAAAGAGATTTAGAAAGATGCAAGGAGCAACCAGTCACCCAACAGCCCTTCAAGTCAAAGGAGGCTGAATGCCAAGACTCCATGCCAAAAATTCAGTATTTTTAAACACCAGACTTCAGAATACTTTGGTGGGGATGGGGGAATGTCACACTTATGACCTTGCTGGGACCTTGCACAGCAGTTGAGACCTATAGCTCCTATCTGGGTATTATTTGAAAGTTGCTCCCAGGATCTCCCTCCTCGCAACTCCCTGACGCACAGAGCTGCACTGCTCATAAATCAACAGCAGAAGAAAGATAAAGGGGGAAGGAAAGCAGCAGAGCCCTGGAACATTTTGAGGATAACTTGTACAGTATTCTCAGGTTTAAGTTAGCATTTTTGGGATGAGATCCAGAGAGGCACCTCAAAACCTAAAACGTGACCCCAGCAAGCTGATTCAGAGAACAGAGTTAGATGCTAGGCTCCTTCTATAGCTATCAGGGAGAGCTGGGTGCCTGTGAAAGGGGAGCCACAAACTTGCACCCATCTGAGTTGGGAAGATGCCCAGAACTAGCTGAAAGGAGGTGCCAAGCACAGGAGTTTGACTAACACCTGGATTCGTAGGCTATG